AGCTTTCTGCATTGCCATCTTCAGCTCTAGGATATTGCAGAGTGCGCACTTTAAGGGGTTTGAGAAATTTTTGTCACAGGCTTCAGATTGAAACTTGTGAATATTTGGTCGAATAAGTACTGTTTCATGAAAGTTGATACCCTCAACTTCAATATTAATAACGTATCAGGGCATATGTATTCCCGTAAGTCTTGACCGATGCATAGAAGTTAGCTTTCCCTCAAATACCTTTCAAGCCCATCGGTATTTGCTCTCGCACACAAAGCCTGACACTTCTCAATGAACCTCCAGAGGAAACAGAAATTATATATTGAACTATGCAGATTTGGTGGAAATGGCGCGGATCGGACAGACATCCTTGAAGTCGACTCCCATGAGCTGTGCAATGACCTTTGTTCGCCAGTCTTGTCACATATCTCGAGTGGAATTCAGCAAGTCAGGTAAGAGAGACTTGGGAGAGTAAGAGAGTAAGAGGTGGCAACCAGATGTGCGCATAACTAATCAAGTTCCCGGAAACAGAAGCTATGCAGTGCACGCGCCAGGAGCACATGGATCACGTGCGGCTGAGTCAGCGGGTCTGGTCCCGCAACCTCAACTTCACTTGACTTTTTGCGCGGCAGCGATTTGACCATCCCAACCATCAGCGCAGAGCTCCCCACCCCATCAATCAGCGAGCCGTTATCGCGGTGTCCGATCCGGATGTAGCTATTGCTACCCCTTCTTGGGATTATACGTTCTCTATCTCATCATTCGAACCCTTGTTGCCACCAACATGTCTGACGGTATGTCCCTATCTCCCCTCTGGATGTGCTCCCCCCACTCCCAAGGTCGACGCGTCACTAACTTCTCTCCCTCTCTAGCCGATTTCGAGGCTGTTCGGAAGCTCCAGGCTGAGCGGAATGCCGCTTCAGCTGGGAAACAAGGTTCTAGGACCTTTGATCCGTCTAGCCAGCGCACTGACAGCTCGACCAAGGCCTCCCTGACTGAATCCTTCGATACGGATGTTTACGAACACGATGGCGCCAACAAATATGCCGGCTATGACACTTCGATTGCCGTGAATGATGACGATGAGGATATGGAGGATGCCGATGCCGGTCACCGTCTTGTCGGCCAGTACACCGCGACCAAAGGTCAGATGGATGAGTTCGCCCACGGTAACGGGGTCGAAGAGGAGGACATTCTTCTCGGTCGCGAGAAGGCGGCCAGGATCGCCGACCGAGAGACAGATTATCAGAAGCGTCGGTTCAACCGTGGCCCCTTGACCCCAACCAGGGCTGATCCATTCGCCGCGAACTCGCACGCGAACGTGGAGTCGGAGGATGGCCAGACTTATCGTGAAGTCATGGCCCTACGTGACCTTGAAAAAGAAGAAGAGCGTGTCCAGAAGCTGATTCAAGAGAAGCAGGCTCGTGGTGAGGACGACGTCCCCGAACATGAGGCCACGTTGAAGCTGGAAGACAAGGAAAATGCCGACGCCGGCTCGACTGTCTCTGTTGCCACTGGCCGCAAGCGCAAGCAGCGGTGGGACGTGTCTTCCGAGCCCACCGAGACGGCGCCAGAGCCTCCTCAGTCCACGGACACGGAGGCCAAGCCCAAGAGATCCCGCTGGGACCAGACTCCCGCGCCAGCTGCGCCTGGCGAAGAAGCACCCAAACGTCGGTCGCGATGGGATCAAGCACCCTCGCTCGCCCCCGGTGCGACTCCCGTCGGTAACCAAGGTCTTGCGACCCCCATGCATCCGTCGCAGTCAGGCTCATCGGCCATGCTTCCAACCAGCTTCGGAACCGATATCTCTGCTCGTAACGCCCCGTTGTCCGATGAAGAGCTGGATATGATGCTGCCCTCAGAAGGCTACAAAATCCTCGACCCTCCCCCGGGTTACGCTCCGATCCGTACCCCGGCCCGGAAGCTCATGTCCACTCCCGCCCCGATGGCCAGCTCGACTGGCGTTGGTGGTTTCATGATGCAGGAGCCAGAGAGCGCTCGAACTATGGGCAAGCAGCTCCCAACCGAGATCCCTGGTGTTGGTGATCTGCAATTTTTCAAGCCTGAGGATATGGCCTACTTCGGCAAACTTATGGAAGGAGGAGACGAGAGCGTGATGTCTGTGGACGAAATGAAAGAGCGGAAGATCATGCGACTGTTGCTGAAGGTCAAGAACGGCACGCCACCCATGAGAAAGACTGCTCTACGTCAGCTCACCGATAACGCGCGGAATTTCGGAGCGGGACCTTTGTTCAACCAGATCCTTCCCCTGCTTATGGAGAAGTCGTTAGAGGACCAGGAGCGCCACTTGCTGGTCAAAGTTATTGACCGTGTGCTCTACAAGCTTGACGATCTCGTCCGTCCTTACGTCCACAAGATTCTCGTCGTCATCGAGCCATTGCTCATTGACCAGGATTACTATGCTCGTGTGGAAGGTCGAGAAATTATCTCGAACTTGGCCAAGGCCGCTGGTCTTGCTACCATGATCAGTACTATGCGTCCCGATATCGATCATGTGGATGAATACGTGCGAAACACGACTGCTCGAGCCTTCGCCGTGGTCGCCTCCGCCCTCGGTATTCCAGCCCTCCTTCCCTTCCTTCGTGCTGTCTGCCGCAGTAAGAAATCCTGGCAGGCTCGACACACTGGTGTGAAGATTGTTCAGCAAATTCCCATTCTTATGGGATGTGCTATTCTTCCCCATCTCAAAGGCCTGGTCGATTGTATCGCCGACAACCTCAGCGACGAACAGGCCAAGGTTCGCACGGTCACTGCCTTGGCTGTGGCCGCCTTGGCTGAGGCTGCCAACCCTTACGGTATCGAAAGTTTCGATGAGATCCTGAACCCCCTGTGGACGGGCGCCCGTAAGCAGCGTGGTAAGGGTCTGGCTGCATTCCTCAAGGCCGTCGGTTACATCATCCCTCTTATGGACGAGGAATATGCCAACTACTATACTAGTCAAATCATGGAAATTCTTCTTCGAGAATTCTCTTCTCCGGATGAAGAGATGAAGAAGGTCGTCCTGAAGGTGGTGTCACAGTGCGCCAGCACCGACGGTGTGACGGCTAGCTACCTTAAAGAGCACGTCTTGACCGACTTCTTCAAGAGCTTCTGGGTCAGGCGGATGGCTCTCGACCGCAGAAACTATCGCCAGGTGGTTGATACCACTGTCGACCTCGGACAGAAGGTTGGCGTAGGCGAGATTCTTGAGCGTGTTGTCAACAACCTGAAGGACGAGAGCGAGCCCTACCGAAAGATGACCGTGGAGACAGTTGAGAAGTTGATTGCTGCTCTCGGAGCGGCCGACATCTCGGAGAGGCTGGAGGAACGGCTTATTGACGGTGTCCTCTATGCCTTTCAGGAGCAGAGCATCGAAGACATTGTCATCTTGAACGGCTTTGGTACCGTGGTGAATGCTCTCGGCACTCGTTGCAAACCCTATCTGCCTCAGATTGTCAGTACCATTCTTTGGAGATTGAACAACAAGTCTGCTACCGTGCGTCAACAAGCGGCCGATCTCATTTCTCGTATTGCCATGGTCATGAAGCAATGTGGCGAGGATGCTCTCATGGGCAAGCTAGGTATCGTTCTCTACGAGTATCTGGGTGAGGAATACCCCGAGGTGCTCGGTTCTATTCTCGGTGCCCTGCGGTCTATTGTCACGGTGGTCGGTATCAACCAGATGCAACCACCTATTAGGGATCTTCTTCCCCGTCTTACCCCCATTCTTCGGAACCGTCACGAAAAGGTTCAGGAAAACACCATCGATCTGGTTGGTCGTATTGCCGACCGCGGGCCCGAGTCGGTCAACGCCCGCGAATGGATGCGTATCTGCTTTGAACTGCTGGACATGTTGAAAGCCCATAAGAAGGGTATCCGCCGTGCCGCCAACAACACTTTCGGTTTCATTGCCAAGGCCATCGGTCCTCAGGATGTGTTGGCTACCCTGCTTAACAACCTCCGTGTACAGGAACGTCAGTCCCGTGTGTGTACTGCCGTTGCCATCGGTATCGTTGCCGAAACGTGTGCTCCGTTCACCGTCCTTCCGGCTTTGATGAACGAATACCGCGTTCCCGAACTGAACGTTCAGAACGGTGTCTTGAAGGCCATGTCCTTCTTGTTCGAGTATATTGGTGAGATGGCCAAGGACTACGTTTACGCCGTGACGCCGCTCCTGGAAGACGCTCTCATCGACCGAGACCAAGTTCACCGACAAACCGCTGCCAGTGTTGTCAAACACATCGCTCTGGGTGTGGTCGGCCTCGGATGTGAAGATGCGATGGTTCATCTTCTCAACTTGGTCTTCCCTAACATCTTCGAAACCAGCCCTCACGTTATCGATCGTGTCATTGAGGCGATCGACGCCATTCGCATGGCCGTCGGGACGGGCGTGGTCATGAACTACGTATGGGCCGGTTTATTCCACCCCGCTCGCAAGGTGCGCGTTCCATACTGGCGGCTGTACAACGACGCCTACGTGCAGAGTGCCGATTCCATGATCCCCTACTATCCCGTCTTGGAAGACGAGGGAGTGGACCGGCATGAATTGACCATCATCGTTTAAGCCCTAAAAAGCATGCCGTTGTTTTCTTTTACCATGCCATTGATGTATTTCATATACAGGATGCTTTTTCACCATTGGATCATTGAGCTTCTTCTTTTTGTTCTTTCTTTTCTTTGACACACTAGGCCTGATTTGATTCATCGCGAACGGTGTTGCTGCTCTGGGGCGGGTAATTCGGCGTGTATCTATTTTTTTACCTTTTTCTGCTCGAAAGATATATCTTGTAGTAAATGATGATTGTTCTTAATGTCACTCACAATATCTTTTTTTTGGTCGGTTGGTAGTGGGCATCCTGCACGTACACGTCTGCGTATTATCAAATCTTCCCCGCATCGACCTCCTTTTCTAGGCGTTGGTTTACATTATTGCATGTTTCTTCACTCCATCTAGATGCCTTGCCTGTTCTACCACGACTGCTAGATGGCAATGAATCTCCCTTCGGAATGCGATGTGCTCGTCGTTGGCAGCGGCAACCGCCCAGTCCGAGGCCCAGAAAGTGTTTATCATCGACAAATGCCCCGAAGAATGGGCCGGCGGAAATTCTTTTTTCACTGCAGGAGCATTTCGCACTTCTCACGACGGCCTAGAGGACCTTCTTCCCTTGGTGAACAATGTTGATCAGACCACAGCACAGAAGATTGAAATGGCTGCCTACACCGAGGCTGACTTCACCGGCGACATGAACCAGGTGACTGGCAATCGAACTGACCGAGGTCTGTGCCGGATTCTAGTGACTGAGTCCAATCCAACAGTCAAATGGTTAGCAGCCAACGGAATCCGCTTTCAGCTTTCCTTCAACCGTCAAGCCTACGAAGTCAACGGCAAGATCTTGGTTCTGGGGCAGACTAGCCCTCAAAACCGAAGATGGGGGCAAAGGACTGATTCAAGACCATATCCATGCCGCTCAGAAGCATGGGATCAGTGTTTTCTATTCGACCGCGGCACAGCGGCTCATTCGCGACCAAGCCTCCCGCGCCGTGACAGGAGTCGAGGTCGTACAACCGGGCCAGTCCTGGGTGTGGAATCTGATGTGAAGCAGGTACGGCAGTTTATGCTGTATATCCTCTCTAATTGCTGCAGGCTTAGAGCTGTCTGATGTATGAGAGCAGGTTACCATATGTGTAAAATGCAGTATGGTGGTCCATTTTATACTGAGTGTTGAAGTATATAAATGTTCACCATCCACATGAATATATATCGAGTAGATTAAGCTTAACTGACAGTTCTAGTCCAGAATTCTATGTAGCTGTTAGCCTCTAGTCAATTCGAATATCCAAGTCTCCATCTACCTATAACAACCGTACCATGTCTATCTACTGAGTACAGCTATATCAACATGTACATGTACCATGCCATACTACACCGTCGCACTCCGATCTTCATCCCGAGAAGCACGTGAAAACCAACGATTATCTAATCCGGCATGTCCGATTTCCTCCCAACCACAAGAATCACATTGTCATTGCACATACACAGTAGATAGATACGTGCATGCATGCATACATACAATCAAGAACAAGAATCCTCACAATCTCATTGCAACCCTACTTGAATCACGGTGTACGTACACCTCCCCCCTCTCCATCATCCATGGATTGAATCCCCCATCACCCACAACCAGAGACCATTTGCCACATGTCCCGGATGCCAAGCATTCACCCTGTAGGCGTCGAGTATGTGCCGCGTAAGCCTTCTCCATCGCCCATGTCATGTGCGGCCTTGGCACATGGGATCTGTGGGGAAAGTCGTCCAGTGCTTATTGGCCGCGCTGGTCAAAGTCGGGGGTTGTCTCTGACATTCCTGGATGAAGGCCCTGCAGATTGGTCGTCATTGCTGTCCAGATTAGTCGGCTTCAGGGTGTGGTTCAGGGATTGGGGTTGCTGTTTTGGGTTGGCTGGGAGCCCGGTTTGTATAGGTGTACTCCGTCATTATTCTCTCTCTCTTGCGCGTACTCCCCATACACTGTGTAGAGGGGAGGGTCAGGGCCCCCTTTTTCATTTCTTTCTAATTTTTGTTTCCCCTTTTCATTTTCAGGGTCAGGTCAGGGTCTGGGGCTTGAGCTTGGAGGGTAGGAAGGCGTGTGCTTTTTTTTTGTGCGTGTGGTTTTGCTTCTTTTCTTTTTCCTGCGGAAAGACCCCCCTCTTTTTGGTAGTTTCTTTTTCGCTCTCTCTTACATATCATGGTTGTAGGTATGTTCGGAGTATGTGCATCGTACTCCGTAGTGTTAGTTTACCGAATAGATGTTTTCCTGATACTTTTTATCGGAATCCCTTGGCTGACAACAACTACCTGAACCCGCATTTCGAGAACGAGAGCCTCTGACTGTCTCGGAAACGGAAACGGGCCCGTCAATGTTTGAGGTTGAGTTCCGTCGTAAGAGTAATAAACCAAACCACAATTTAAAGCCAATTGAAATTGAACAGAGCACGGATGTCTATAACCGCATCGATACTTTGAATCCATGTCTCATAGTTGTCTGCTCCAGACGACTGCCCGTGGTATATTACTATTATCTATCTATCGTACGGCTGAATAGTTGGGTTGAATGCGCATACATCCAACATCCCAGCCAAATGCAAGTGTTGCACACACTGCACACCACCACCGACCGGTCGCCCCTGCACCATCTCGTCACCTTGCTTGGGTCGTCCGCGGCAGACATGCATCTCTGCCTGGTTGGTGGTAGGGTGGCTTGCATGGAAACCTTTTCCTAGGTACAGTAGGTTCGGTAAAAATATGGAATTGTTCCTTAGTGCAGGCTGGCAAACTACACCACTAGTGGCACCATTGTTCAGATCCTACCGGGATGGATTCACAATAATCTACAATTTCTGTTTTCTTCTCTCTCTACTCCGTAAATTTCCCCTGAATCAAAAGAATTGAGCTTGATTGGATTGGGGAATTTTTGTCTCTCGACTTTTGGGGTGGTCCTCCGTATCGGTGTTGGTTTTTTCTTTTTTCATGTCATTTTTTTTTTGCCCTGTCCCATTCCTTCCCGTCTTTTAGTTCTGGGCCATTACGAATCCATGAAAAAAAATCAGCACGCAGGAATCAAATTAGTACACGTCCTTTTTTTCTTTTTTTCTTTTTTCTTTTCTCTTTAGTTTATTGTTGGATGTCACCCTTTCGACAATTTGGACTTTTGCCCTCGGTTCATGTGAGAGAGAAACTAGAAAGGAGAGCTGAGGTATCGTACCTGTTCCGTAGGGATCAGGGATCAAATGGCTCTCGGGGCTGACGATTGCCGGTGATGTAAGCCTTGCCCTGTTACTAAGTATATCTCCAACCACTGCCGAGATTTGCAATTGATTATCTTGATGGATGATGTACAACGGCGAACTCGGGGAGGAAAATCCCCATTAGTAATGACTAGACATCACAGCTTAATTCCTTAGTAGATACTCGTATTCATGACTCCCAGGAACGCATTCCTACGAAGTACTTCGTACTCCTCGAGTCCATGGTTCCTATTCCTATACAGCTTCCTGTTCCAGTCTAGCCGCCAATGCAGGGTCTTTCATCCTTCCGATTAATCTAAGCGCGTAAAAAAAAATCGTATACCGAATGCTCCGTAGATGGTCTGAGACTCAGAGTACTGATTGCGCAGTCTCAATTTACTCGATACCCTCAGACATCAGATAATGGTGTGAAAAGTGGATTAAAAAAAATTCAAAGCCCACGCACGAAGGATTCCTATGGCACCTGTCTGGCATGTCTCAAATGTTCCTAAAGAGTTCAACATCCAATGATGAATCTCAGACACCCTCATAGAGTGCATCAGATTCGCAACGCATTCCTTCTTGCCCCCCCTCCCCCCTTCGCCCCCTCTTTCTCTCTAGCCCCTAGCCTCTCCTCTTCCGTCGAGGATGCATCGCGCCGCCGCCATTGACATACGCCAAGAAACCGGTAGACTCCACTTTCTGCACACTAGAATCATTTTTCCGTCGGGGATCACGCCAGAGGCTTGAAGGCCGGTGGAAGCTTGTTCAGGGTCCTGTCGCTGAGCGGGCTAAGCGAAGAGGGGAAACGGCGATGGGCGTGATGGATGCAGCGCCGAGTTTTAGTCCCTGTACAACTGCAATATCTCCATAGACATGGATGGATTCAGGTGGATTCAGTATTGCAGTAGGGCAGTCCAAGAGGACCGGGATTACGAACAGGGATGAACGGTCTGAAGAACAGATGACGTACCCCTGAACCGTCCGCCAATTCCTCGCTGTTGTAACTGGTATCTGCTAACCTATCTTGTATCTAGCCCATCGTCCTTGAATAGAGTAGGGAAATCACTGTCGGCTCATGCCGTCACTTCCCGTTTCTCCTATTCCACGGACAAGAAATGGACTTACTCAGCGTCTGATGGAGTTTAGGTAATTAATTAGTCGTTGGCGGTCTCGAACCGACGCATGGTCGCTGTCGAGCCGTCGTCTAGCGGCTCAGTGATATCATTTGAGTTTTTGTCTCTCATCCATCCTCATCCACTTTGGTCGCGCTCGGGATGGATGGATCCTCTTTCTGTTTCTGCTCCCTCAGACGCTTACTCCGTCGTTTACGGAGTCATTTGTGGTTTCCCGGGGAGAAGTTCAAGACTTTCAAAGTTCAAGTCGAGTTCTTGACGAGTGGATCGGACTTAGTCCCAAATCGGATCATTTAGTTCATACTAGTCTGTCAACAGGGCGAGAGGGACGTCGCGTTTCAGCTTTCTGCTAGACTTTTCTCATCCTGAAAGTGGCAGAGGGGGTGGAGCCGGCCAGGATCGCACGCAGGGATTCCGACCTGCGGGGTCATGGCGTCTTGCGAATCTAGCATTCTGGGTTCGGGATTGGTTATTTTTTGTTTAGAAAATAAAAAACAGAAATTACCGTGTGTTGAGAAGAGAAAGAAAGATTCGTGAATGCCTACTGTCGTTACATTGCATATACAGTGTCTCTATCTCGAGCATACTGTGTACGGAGTAAATGTAAATACCAACAACAAAAAGAAAAACAATATCGACTTCCCATAAACCCTCTTCCCGAACAGGAATAGCCTCCCCTGCAACAAGGAAAAGCTCTGTGAGATGTGCACGCGTCAGCTCCTGTGGGCCCATCCACGATGATTGGGTTATCTGCTCGAGCCAAGCTCGGCTATCGACTATCTGCCGTCTCTGGGGCATATGGCTGCATGCCTCCCTGCTTCTTCAAATTAAATCCCGTTGGGGCGTGCCCAATAGCGTAGCCGATTTTTGCGCCCTCTCCCTTTTCCTGTTCCCCTGTAGGTGTAGCTTTCACACCTTGCCTCCTCCGGACTAGCGGGACATCAAGTTCCCACCGGCTGGGGAGGAAGGTCAAGCCTGAGCCATTAAACAACAGTCAATGGAGCGCTAAATCCTCTTGTTCTGGCCATGTGGGTCGTCTGGGAGAGGGCCTGTTGGATGAGGGTCTTGGCAGAAACGCCACTCGTTCGACGTTCAAATGGTATCGGGACCAGTGGCCAATCAAGGCGGGAGAATGTTTCCTTGCGAGGGAAATTTCCTGGGAGCTAGCAGGAAAGATAGTTTGCTGTGCCCACATCTTCTGATCTTATGGTTTATGTCCCCATCTCCCGCGCTATCGTTTAGTTGTCTACCAGTACCATGCAATCCTATCTTCCTTCCTACAGCGGATTATGGTCTGCGAACTTATGACGCTGACGGCGACTCTGACTATGAGTAACTCCGTCAGGGTATCCATTCCCTCGCAGCACCTATCGCAAATTCGCAATATTTGGCCCAGCCTGGGACACGGGAAGGACCCAATATCCAATAAAGCAATTTCCCAGGTCGGGCCCATCCGCTCCTCTATGCAAACTCGTACAAACCACAAACCATAGAGTTCGTACGCCTCAACTCTACTCCATCGAGGACGGGTACCTGGCGGAAGTTCAGCGAGGTTCTATTAGCTTGGCGGCATGACTGGAGGTTTGTTCTTCGGGGACCTCTTACTTGGTCTTTCATCTCTTATTCCCCGAACCTCTAACCAGTCGCCATAGACCTCATGGTGGAATCTGCTACTTTAGT